AAAGCAGGTGAACTGAAATTTGGAAAATGCACATAATTGCAATAGTGAACTATAAGCAAATCCAGATACTCAAAGGTGGGAACCCTGCTGTTATTGGGGAAAGCAGGGGAATGGGGTGGGGGTGGTAGCTACTTGGTGACGAGTGACAGCACTTCTTATTGGTGGAGGTATTGCTGTTCAGGATGACTCTCCCTTTGGGATACTAAAGTGACTTCTTCCTGTTGGGAAGTGTAAGGGTTTGCTTCTTCCCTTTGGGGCATGCAAGAATGAAACGTGCATGACAATGTCAAGTAGTGATATGTGAGTTCCCTTTACAGGCCTTCCCAACTTCAGTTTAGTGGATGTTCCTTATTAATTTTCACGCTAGACATGGATGAGCATTTGAGGAAGAATGGTGGGGAAGAAATGCAATTCTTAAATACCACAGATAGAAATAGGTGTTGAGACATTCACAGAGCTCTCAGCTCAGTCACACTTAGTTGGCCAATAGGACTTCACCTTCCAACAGCAATTTGAGGTCCAGGCCTTTAAATGACCTGATGTTGTGGATGGTTTGAGCTATCAGTTCTGGGACGTTTCATCCCCAGCATTACCCAAAGGGAAACGCTTGTTTGCCCTTGTTAGTGAGTTTGTTAACAACCAGCTTCGGGGCCATTCTCCAGGCATCAATACCCCCTCAGTCTAGATCACCCACGTGAACTGGCAGCTTCCTATGTACAATATCTACCCTGAGTCATGAGCACAACATTGTTTGCAACAAGCTGCTATTGCCTCTGCCTTCTCCTGAGTCGGCCGAGAGACATCTTAAGTCTCCCATGAGGAGAACAGCCTCCCAAAGAGGTCCCAGGATTTATTACTACCCCAGGGGCCCTCTGTGCCTCCCAGAGCATCTCGAGTTTTGACAGAGCCCAATGGTCTCCAGAAACTTCATTGCACTCTGGTAACCACAACAGTTTCCTGTCTCCTGACAAGGGCCATGCACATGTCCCAGTGACAGCTGCCATGTTCTAAAATGATCAGTACACTCCTCTGGAACAACCGTTTATTGTTTGATTGTTTGTAATATTGCTTAGAGATAGCAAACAATCACTTTTCCTAAGCAAAACAATACTTGTTTATTCAGTCACTAAATAATAATCAAGCACAATCTTTGTGTTTTGTGCTTATTTAAAGAGGCAAGAAATGTGGCCTGTTCTCAATGGGCTGATTTAGGCCTGGGTCCCTCAGGGACTAATCCTCAATGGACATTGAAGAAGATTGAAATAATATCCTTGACCTTAAGGATTGTTTCAACTTCACTGTCTAACGTAGAAGAATAACTCATGGGGGTGATGGGAACGGGCCTCTAGGCCTTGTAGAGAGGTGGGCAGTGATATGGCCACTGCTAAGGTCATTCTCCCATGGGTCACACATGTCTATCACCTCTCTGTCCTGACTGTACATGTAAGCTCAGGTGCCTAGATCCCAGGAGGGAAGGAGGCCAGGTGGTCCTACTGGATAAGCAAAAGCAACATAAACCTAGTAGGTGGCAGTCAGTGACCTCTGAATAGTCAGCCAGCTGACATCTTGGGATTTGGATGGAGGGGAGATGAGGGTGGCCTCCTGGAAGAATTATAGCACTGGGAACCTGGGATGCAGTTTAATCTTTGGGGCTTTTTGCACTGGGGCTGCTGGTGATGCGTCCTGAGCCGACACACTCGTTGCACCTCCTCCCATGGGACAAGGCCCTCTGGTGTAGAGAAAATGCCTGAATGCCCCTCGGAGGACATTTTCTCTAATTCCATCATTGAAAACAGGGCCAGACTCCTACATGACCATGCAAAGGTCTGTCTTGGGTCTGAAAGCCAGAGAAGGAAGTTCACGGGGCCATGAGGTGGCGCCTGGCACTTGGAAGACTTCTAGCCCAAATATAGGCCATACAAACAACTGAAACCCTGAGTAGACTGAGTAGACTGTGACTAGAATCCTTTAACAGGCAGCAGTTTAATAAGTGGTTAATTCAAGCTCCCATTCAATATTGTCACTTAATCTTTCTCTCTTTCAGGGGAAAACAGAATTCTTTCGGTTATCCCTCAGTTGATCCTTATGTAAGTTGTTTTTTTTTTTTAAAGATTTATTTATTCATTCATTTATTTATTTATTTATACGAGCACTGGGTACAGTCAGAAGCGCGGGAGGGTGAGAGAATTCACCAGAGCCAGAGCGGGGAGCAGAGCAGGCAGAAGGACCGAAGTACACTGCTGAGGGGAGCAGCGGGCGGCAGGAGAGGTCTGCGCGCCATGTGGGACCCTACTCCGGTGGCCGGGGAGCAGCTGGGGATCGAACTGGCGCTGCAGAGGCTGCGGGCAGCTTTGCAATCCAGCACTCAACCGCTGCGCCACCGGGGAGGCCTGATCCTTATATAAGTTTTAACCCCCACCTGGAACCCCAGACAACCCAGGCCTTTCCCCTTGGTGCATCGTCTATGTCTGATATGTTCCCCTGAGGCTCACACTCAGTAGATTAGCAGAGATGAGCAGAGAGCCACAGACACATAACCCTCGCCAGGTAGATGGTACTGGGGTGTGTCTCAGGGCAAAAGCTCCTTTCCATTTGTCCAGTGGCGACTCCCATTTTCTCATTTCCCCTGGAAAACGGGTGTGCGAGGCCGAGTTCTAGACCACTGTGGCCTCTAAAATTGAGGTTGATGTGATCATGGCCACAGCTGGTCTGCAGATGAGCGGTGAGAAGCAAGGTTGAAGGGTGGCTGCATTTTAAAGAAGGTGGTAGAAGGAAAGCCCAGGCATTCACTCCAGGTGCAGGCAGAGCTAAGGATGTTTTAAACATCAGCCAGATGGTTGGGACCTCACTGGTGGTGCAAGGGCTTAAGTCTCAGCACTATCGAGATATTGCCAGCCACTGCAACACGAGTTCAATCCCAGGCCAGGGAGCTGACCCACAAGGCGCAGCAGACCTCTCCTGTCTTGCCTGCTGCTCCCCTCAGCAGCATATTTCAGTAGATCTGCCTGTTCTGCTCCCCACTTTGTCACTGGTGAATCCTCTCACCAACCCCTACACCTCTGGCCTGCACCCCAGTTCTTGCATGCATGAATAAATAGAAAACAAATCTTAAAAAAATACATATATGAGTCAGAAGGAATAGGCCAGATTGAGCTGCTGTGTTCAAGGGTGGGTCCTGTCGTGAGTCCTGCAGAGAGACATGCGCCAGGCCAGTGGGTCCCTTATAGAACCCTGTACCCAATCCCCAGGGCCTTCAGGGGCTGAAACCATCACTAATGGCAATCACAGGGCATTTTCACTCAGTTTAAATATGGCTTCCTGCTTTAAATCTGCCAAAATTATGGGCGACTTCACTCTCAGAGCTAAATCATAATGGCTTTCTTTCACTGCAACAAGATTGACATTAAAGCAACCAAAGTAACCAAAGTTTAAGAATCTTGAATCCTATCTTTTAACAGATTTCTCTCCACAACTCCAGGGGGCAGCACTCACATGGGACATCATGCAGTCATAATGACACCTGACATCCAAGAGAAAAGGGACAAATAGTTTTATACACACTTTACGTCCCAAACAATCCTCCCAAAACGTTTCGATTGTATCCACAGTGATGTTGACCCTCAGCCAACTGAGGAAGCTTCAATCTTCTGGACAGCTCTGGAGTCCAGTGTTTGTGAGGCTTGTTTGGGTGCATGAAGACACGAAGGATCAGGTCCAACTGCCCACGGGAGGGTGGCAACTGTTCCAACAAGAGCACCCTCATCTGTGTAAATCATCCCCCCTGGGACGGATACCACAAGTCAACTCAACATTGACTCAGAACATACCTTGACACTCAGATTCTGCCAAGATTAGATCTCAGCTTACTCTGCACATTGGGATCCCCTGAAGACCTCTGAAAGGCTGCATTGCCTGCCACCCACCCAAGGGGAAATTCTCATTTAATTCTCCTGAGCTGATTTAGGCATTAAGATTGTGGGGAAAGTCCCAGATGACTCTGATACTCAAAGTAACTTATTGTATGGCTTCAGAACAATACCCAAGCCCATCCGCCCCACACCAACTTGGTCAGAATCACTGCCCCTGGGACCAGGAACTCTTAATTTACACTCTTCTCTGGATCATTCTATGTGCAGCTGGGCTGAGAAACTAAGAGCTGGAGACATAAATGTTAAAAAGATATGGATTCAAGATTCTTAAACTTTGGTTACTTTGGTTGTTGTCCTTATTCTCCTGGGGAAAGGGTCACTCTTTCTGGAGAATGATGGTGAGCTATGGGAGCCTGCCCTGAGAGGAAAAATGAGCTATGCTTGCGTGCCAGAGCAGCCTCAGAGGTGTGCTTGCAGATCCCCTAACTTTCAGTGGGAGCACCTGGCAAGACATCCCTTTGGGCTAACGTTTCCAATATGCGGCCATTTGCACACAAAAGAAATCCCCAGAACCCAATTCATCCAACACAAATATTTTCACCCAGAAACCCAGAACATGATGCAAAGTAACTGTTGATTTGTGTGACTTATTACTTTGCACACATACAAATATATCCCTTCTTATTTAATTTTCAATATATCCCCCTTCTGTGAGTCAGTTTAGTCATGCTGCTCTGGGCACATAAATTTAATACTTTATTGCAGGACCTGGTTTGATCTGCAAGGTTAATACAATGGTTCAGATTCCGATGAAATTGTCTTGTTTTGTCGCCAGTCTTTCTGGGATAGAATCTCTGGTTTCATGGGGCAGCTTTTCCGTCTGAATCTGTCAGGCCCGACACACGGAGCCTCCCTCCTGAATTCACCGCAGACCAGGATGTCCTCTCCTGAAATCCCTGCTCCCTGCCATCCTTCCCTGGCTCTGGGGGCTGAGAGTCCATGCAGGCCCACCCAGGCGGGCACCACCCCTCGAGCTGCCAGCTGTGAGCTCACTGGGCCTCCGGGCACTGTTTTACCTTCCAGCCAGAAAACTCTAACACGTGCGAGGTGTGCGGGGCCAGAGGGCTGCTGCTGTGCTGCGACACTTGTCCCAGGTCCTTTCACAAAGACTGTCACATCCCCCTTGAGGACACGGAGAGGTTTGTGAGACACGGTGCCCACCCGTGAGGGCCGGTCCCCCCTGCAGAGTTGGCATGGGCATGGGAGAGAGCGGGAGCTTTGAGGCCCGAGGGTGGTCCCCGGAGAGCCATGTCAGCTGCTGTGCCGGGAGGGCGGTTCTTTCCTCTCCTCTGCTGCTGGAATCGCTGGTCTCCAGACGGCCGCTGTCCCAACCTAGAAGCTTCCAGCATGGACTCCCGTTCACAGAAATGGAGACGACAGTTGTTTGCGTCCGGTGCTGCGCTAGACGGGGCAGGGAACCTGGCCTGCTCTCCCCGCTCCGATGGCGCCTGGGCCCCTCCGGGACACAGCCCGTTTCTGACATGCAGGCCTGGGGGACAGAGATCCTGGGCTCCCTGCAGCTCAGATGGGGAAGCAAAGGCGTCCCTCCACGTTCTGCCCACCCCCGCCACCCTGGCTGGGAGGAGGCCACTGTCTCAGGCCCCACAACGGAGCTTGGAGACGGGAGGTGTCCCCTCCAGCCATGCTCACGGAGGACAGCTACGGCCACAGGAGCAGGGGCTCTTTCCACAGCTGCTCCCCTGCCCACCTGTGCCCACCCACAGGGACCCGTGGAGCTGCACCTTCTGCGAGGTGAATGAGTCCTCGGGAAGCCAGCCGCGTCGGGGGGAGGCCGAGGTCCTGGCAAGGCCGATGCAGCCCGAGGAGCAGTTGGTGAGAGCATTGGGAACCCCCAACCTCCCTTTGCCCCTCACCCAGGAGCAGGCACAGGGGCCAAGGACGAGGGGGAGGGCACCCAAGGGAGCCTACTCTTGGAGCCAGGCCTCCAGGAGGCTGAACACACCGAGACTTGTTTGCTTGAAAACAGCTCAGCCATTCCAAGTCTGCTTCCTAGACCAATACATGTTTGGGGAAACTTCTGGAAGACTGGTGGGCATGCCTCTGCCCGGACATGCATAAGGGCTCATTCTCTCCAAGTTGCTCTCCATTCACAGTCCCCTTCTCCTGCAGAAATGTGCCTTGCTCCTCATGAAGGTCTATGGCCATTCCGAAAGCTCCTTTTTTAAGAGGATTCCACATTATTATTATGTAAGTAACAAGAAGCCATGACAACAGGCGGCAGAGGTCACCTGACCCTGACCTGGGCCCTGGGGACTCTGATCCCCGTCCAAGGGCTAAGAGCAGGAGCTGCTGTTACCTTGACCTTGTTGCATTTCTGCTGGGTTTGTGAGAATTTGCAGAAGCAGAGTGTGTTCGTAACTGTCGCATTGATCTATTTTTCTCACCAGATTAAGGAAGTTTCTCAAAAACTGAAGGAACCCATGTGGTTGGACAAAATCAAGAAGAAGCTAAATAAGCAGGGATACTCCCGAGTGCAGGAGTTTGTGCAGGACATGCGCCTCATTTTCCAAAACCACAAAGTATCTTACAAGGTCTGTACTGCCACTGCTTCCAGCACTTTCTCTTCCCACCCTTGTTACTGGGCATGGTGAGGGGCACCCCAGAACCCCCAAAATTCCCTTCCCTAAATAAGTTCTTCCATCTACCACATCAAGACAAAACATAAGTTTGTCTTTTCTAGTGCATAAGACCTTTAATGGAAGGGAGATTTACTACAATTAGTGTGCAACAAGGACAAGAAAGAGAATAACATGTTTAAATCAAGTACCCAAGGTACCCATCCCCGCATGGGTAAATGCCCACACAGGGTAGGCCCAGAGCAGGCCCACTGAACCCAAAAACCTGAAGCATCTGCTGGTGGGGACCCATCGGAAGAGGGAAGAAATGGCCAGAAGGCTCTGGAAGGAAAAGAGCAAAATCAAAATCAAGATAAAAGCTGCCACTGTTCACTTCCCTACCGGTGTCTCACCCGTCTGTGGCAAGTCTCTCCTTCCCTGTCCCCCAAGGCCCGGGTCTAAGTCCCAGGCTGAGCAGCAAGCCCAGTGTTGTGCATGTCTCTGTGCTCCGCCTGCCTGCTGGGGGCTCCTGGCTTCCATCTGCTCCCTTTTTCCTTCTCCAGTCCCCTCTCCGGCTTCCCCTCGCCCTGCTCTGTCCCTCCCTCCTCAGGTGGGGCAGGGAACCTGGAACCTCCCTTTTCCCCAGAGACCACCCTGTTACACCCTGACAGCTCATTGCCCTCCACAAAGGCACCCACGGGACAGTCGAGATCCACCTGCTCCACCTCCTAAGGAGAGAATTGTCTCCTGAAGTAACCTGGTGCTTCTTCCCTCCACCAGCTCCCCTCAACCAGACTGCTGGGAATCCCCCACTTCCAGATCCCTGCTGTGAATAGGCCACTAATTAACAGGGACCCCCAGAGGGGACAGAAATGACCCATGAAGCTCCACTCTTGTCTTTGAACTGTTTAAAAATGTGGGTTACTTTTCTAGCACTCACTAAGGGGAATAACCCAAACCAAATAAAGGGGTCCCCGAGTGTGGGGGTCACTTGTGGTTTCTGTCTAGTTGAGAAGAAACAGCATGCTCTGAGGAAACGGAAGCTCCCTGAGCTGCCTGAGTTTTAGTGTGACCTGATAGAACTGGTTTAAGACAAAGGTCCTGCTCCTTCTCCCAGGGAGGCAAACAATGAGGACCACTTTTTTTTTTTTTTTTCAGAGCGTTAACTTTGGCCTAAGGGGACTTAAACTGGAGGCAGAATTTGAGAAGAATTTCAAGGAAGTGTTTGCTATTCAAGAAACAACTGAGGACAGCCCCCCAGGGGAGTGACCGCCCTGGATGCCCTCAGAAATCTCTGGACAGATCTCAGAATGGTCCTTCAAAATCAACAAAAAACTACGAACCAGAGACACTTTTAAGGGGGTGGGGTGGGAGGGGAGAGATTGGGGTCAGAATGGGGGGGCTGCAATTGTATGGGGAATATAAAAATAAAATTTATTATTAAAATAAAAAAAAAAAATGGTCCTTCCCAGGCAGCTGTGAGGGGCGCGCTGCTGACTCAGAGATCTGCCTTTGGGCCCGGGAAGTCTGTCTCCTGGAGGTTCTACCTCCTTGGCTTGGGGCCAGCTCTTACCCCAGGGTCAACCTAAAACGGAATAATTCATGCCTTTCCCCAGGCAGCTTTCTTGCCCTGCTGTTTTGTTTATGAAACTCTGAGCCGTTTATGAAACTCTGGCCGAGTGTCTCTGGTGCAGGGAAGGGCTCAGTGCTGGAGTCCCGGCTGGTGCATCTTCCATGGGGGCTGCTTTCTGTTTGGTGCTGCACAGCAGCGACTCTCTTCCTGGTGTGACAGGGGCTGGGAGACTGAGGAACTTGGGGTCTCGAGCAGGGTCCTGGGGAGGGTGGGCAGGGCTGGCTAGGTGCTTCGGAATGAGCACAGGAGTTCTCTTTCTTTTCTTTTATAAAACATTTTATTATTTATGCATACAAGAGCTGGGGTACAGGCCAGAGGTGCAGGGGGGAGAGGATTCACCAGAGACAGAGTGGGGAGCAGAACAGGCGGATCTATTGAAATAGGCTGCTGAGGGGAGCGGAGGGGGAGGCAGGAGAGGTCTGCTGCACCATGTGGGTCAGCTCCCTGGCCGGGGATCGAACACGTGCTGCGGTGGCTGTGGATAGTTCCGTAGCGCTGCGACTTAACACCTTGCGCCAAGAGAGGCCCGGGAGTTCTGTTTCTGACCTGCAGGAGAGGACCCTGCACAGTGAGCTGCTGACTTCTGGGAAATTCTCAGAACAACTGCCCGAGTTTACCAGAAAACCAACAAAAGTGAGCCAGCTCTGCAGGGAAATGGAAACTTAGAAGCAGCCAGCAGAAGACACTTCCTGTTAATCATCCCACAGCTCTGAGTACACGGTCTTGCTGGGGTGGCAAATATTTTGATAGGAAGTTCTACCTGTTTCCTTTCTGGTCAGGTGAAATAGTCCAGGGGCGTCAGGCTCTCTGGGGAGCAAAGGGGGACGCCCAGAAAGGAGAAAATCACAGAGAGGACCTCACATTCTGTGCTAAAGCCCTAACCGGGCCTCTGGCCGACGCCTGGGGAACACTAACGTCAGCCTGAGCCCGTGTCCAGGCCACGGCACTAGGAGGACACAGGAGTGGAGCCGAGGCCCAGACTCATGAGCCACCTGCTGAGACACGCTCCCCTCCTCTGGTTCCAGCAGAATCGGCAATGCCTGTTCAGTGGGCTCAGACCCTGCCTGACGGCTTCTGCGGGGCAGTGTCATTAACCAGATGCCCTCGACCTGCCCCTGGCACTTCAGCGCATGTGCCCTGGTCTGACGGTTTTCGTCCGCCTTGAAGGCCCTTGGTTGACATGCCACTGCAACTGGGATTTCCTCTCCCGCGTGCTGCCAGAGCCCCTGGGAGCTGGCAGGACCACGTTCCCACCCCCCAGGTCGCCTGTGTCAAGGGGAGGAGGTGCCAGGCTGACCTGAGTTCTCGGGTCACAGTCCTGGCTTCGCTGGTGTCTGTGAGGCGGCTGGGGCCCTCCGAGAAAGGGGCTGGGGTGCGCATTGGCAGCGCTGGAAACAGACTAGAGGCAGCGTCCCCTGTGCCCTCTCGCAGGACGGTGTCACTGGGCCTCTTCCCAGGGCACAGGCTCCTGTCAACAGCCCCTCTTGTCTCACCGTCTTGGAGGCTCCAGAAGACGACGTGTGCCTACCCACCCTTTCGGTTCTGCTCAGTCACCCTAAGGTCCTGCTGAGTCACCCTGAGGTCCCACAGAGAGAATTACCCACCTACAGCCCAAAAGAAGGGACCCACGGCCCAGTGGGCTCCTCCCCTGTGCTGGGGGGAGGGCGCCAGGACCAGCCAGCAGGTGCTCGCGTTACCCGTGCGCCACCTGGCTGTCCTAAGACCCACGACATCCAGGCCACCAGGACTCGGGGTGCAGGCGTGGCAGAGTCTGCAGAAATACTAGACGTGGGGGCTCTGCAAAGGCTTCATCCACTGTCCATTCCAGCCTTTGCTGCTCCCACTGCCTCCGCTCGTCCTGCTTCTGGTGTGCCCAGCCCCGCTGACACCTCGGCTTTTGGAGAGGGAGGGTTGACCTGCAGCCTTAGTTGATTCCCCTGGGGCCAGTCCACACAGACTGCCCGGTCCCAGGTCCTCCAACCACAGCAGAAGTGCCAGTAGGGGTTCACTCAGGAAACACCACAGCACCCGGATTCCCAGAACATTAAACATGCTCGACCCATACAGGCCAATCAATCAGCAGCTGGGCGTGCTCATCCGGGTGCCTGAGTGATGCTCATCCAGGTGAGTGGTGACGCTGATACCCGTGAGCTCCAGGTCTGCCTGGCAGTAGAGAGGGCCCCGGTGGGGGAAAGTGAGGACTCCACACCCAGCGGGGAAGGGCAGCCTCTGCTAGACACGCACATTTTCTTTGCAGCCCGGGTCTTCTCTTTAATCCTCCCACGCCATCCATTTCTGCAGCTGGTGGATATTTAACACATGCAGCGTGGGGGCAGATCCACACGCCTGCATGGCTGAGGGTGGCTGCCCCAGGGGAATGCAACTCGGGGTGAGCAGGGGCCGGCGTGAGCGGGTCTGTGTCCAGGAAGGTCATGTGAGGGCTTCGGGATGGAAACAGCATCGGGTGCCTGGGCCTTCCTCACAACGTTTAACCAAGATCTTTCCGTTCCGACCCGAGCCCTGTGCGCTCCTGAGCTGCCAGATGTCAAATCCTCTCAGAGCCCAAGCCTCCAGTCGGTCCCTCTGTGGGCAGTAGGCGATTCCGGTGCCTTGTTCCGCTGCTCATCTGGAGAAGCTCAGAGACTCTCAGGCAAAGGAGTTTCTAGTTTCAATTTCCTGGACCAGACCTCAAAGCCCGCGGAGGGCAGGAGGGGCTGCAACGCCAGGCACAACCTTTAGAGGGGGGAGCAGACCCGGCTGGAGCCAGGTCATGAGGAAGGGGTGCCCAGCCCGAGATGGTGGAGACTCCAGGGCCCCAAATGAAAAATGGGGTGGCAGCCTCAGGCTCCTGCCTTGCTTTGTTCCACACCGGGGTCTGTGACGGGGTTACAGGACGTCACCAGCTGCCCTGAGGTGAGCCCGGGGCTCCCAGTGAAGGGCTACGGGTGATGGTGCCCACTCTGGGGGTGACCCAGCCTGTGGACCTGGACCCGCCTTCCTCCGTGGGGTGCACAGGACTGTGGGTGATCTCTGGGCCATTCGCAGACGACCCCAGACCCCCCCCTCAGTGGCTCAGAGGGACTTCTGCAGTCCCCCAGGCTCCCCTTCTCTTCCCCACTCCCTGAAGCCCCTCAGCCTCCAACCGTCCTCCTCTGCCCATGGGTCTTCCCATCCCCCCTCCCAAGGCGTCACCCCCTTCCCTACAGAAATCACCACATTTTCTCCTAAGGGTCCTCTGCTTGCTGACGATCTTTGTAGCCTCAGGAGTCCACAGCTCCTTTGCCCACACAGAGCTTCTACTGAGCGGGAAGAGGCGGCTCCCCCTCACCCCTGTGCCTACATCTGCAACATTTCCACCAAATGCCCACAGAGCCCATGCCAGTCAACTGTGTTACGAGCACACGCTTGCAGGTGTGTGATCCCCACCTCTTGACCCACCTGGGCACAGGCGGACAAGACTTTAGGGGTAGGACACACACACACCTGCTCGGCCCTGTAAAGTGTGTCGTCGGCCAAGCGTATTCTGTCCCCCACTGAATTCACACTGTTACAGGGCAGGGAGAGGCGCAACCCAAACCCCGCAAACCTGCCTGTTCTATATGGGGTTCAGCCATCCCGGTCAACACAAACATGGACTTTACTGGGAAGGAACTTTAATACAACTAGGAAACAACACAGGAAAGGCAAAGAATCTAGTTTCTAATCAAGCACCCAGTCACCCGCCCCTCGTGGGTAAAAGTCCATCCAAATGGGAGTTGGCCCAGAGCAAGGCCCCAAAGCCTGCCCCGAGTCTAAAGCACCTTCCAGTGGGACCCCCAAAAGGGTCAAAACCCCAGACAAGCCCGGCAGGAAAAGAGCAAAATCAGGCCTCCCTGGTGGCGCAGCGGTTGAGTGCTGGGCTGCGAGGCTGCCCGCGGCCTCTGCAGCGCCGCCGTTCATTCCGGCCGCCAGCGAGGGTCCCACAAAAAATAAAAATAAAATAAACTCACCATCTTTCACTATATGATTGACCCCTTCTGCCCACCCCCACCCCACCTTGCTTCTTCTTTTTTAAAGAAAAAAAAAAAGAGCAAAATCAAAATCAAGGATAAAAGCTGCCCTGATCACCTCCCCACGGGCCTCCCCACGTTCTGTGTCACCCCGTCCACGACCAAAAGGCAAGCGCAGCTTCTCACGTGTCTCTAGGCTGATGACTCCTCCAGGGCTCCTTCTGGCTCCATCCTGCTTCTTCTCAGTCTCCCTGCAGCTTCTTCTCTCCTGCTCAGCTCCACCCTCCCTTGGGTGGGGGCAGGGAACCTGGAACCTCCCCTTTCCTGGGGACCCCCCCCATTACAAAACCAACAGAGAAATCTACCAAAAAAAAAAAGGAATCTACAACAGAGACAGGTGGTGCAGGTGAAATGAAACTGTCAGGATTTTCCACCCTCCCGCCATTGGCGTGTAATATCCTCACCTGTGGCTTTCACGTGTGCCTGATGGCGGAACCACCTGGCGTAGGGCGTGGGTCAGTGGGAAGTGGGCGCCGCTGGGCTGGGAGGCCGGGCTAAGCAGGGGCGGGCGGCGCAGAGACACCAGGGTAGCAGAGAAACCGAGGGGCGACGAGACAGAAACGCAGAGAGCCCAGAAAAGAGTGAGGACTGGCCAGGGGCCCCTGCCTGCCCTGGGGCTGGTTGACAGGTGTGGTGTGAAAGCCTCACAGAGAGGCCTGGAGAAGCCTGTGAGGG